CTTTGTTAGTTTGTTTGTTTGTTTGTGTATGAGAGTGAAATGAAGTGAGGAAAAGAGAACGATGGGAAGAGAGAAAAAGCGATTGAATAGAAGAGAGAGAAAAGAAAGAGAGAGAGAGAGAGAGAGAGAGAGAGAGAGAGAGAGAGAGAGAGAGAAGAAGAAGAAGAAGAAGAAGAAGAAGAAGAAGAGATGGAAGGGGTGAGTGAGGGCGAGGGGAGAGAGGAGAGAGAAGTGAGGAATTACTTATGAATGGGGTTTTTTTAGTACTCTTTTACTGTCAGCAGCTGTGAGATAAACTTTTTTGTTGATGATAATGTTAATCTTGTCGGATCATAATATGGAATGTTCCAGGTAGATAGGCTGGTACAACAGCATTTTGTATATTGGGCCAAGAGAACTACGAATCGGTGTAATTCGCAATGGATGTTACATGGATAAAAGTATGTGATGTGCTTCTGTACCACGCTAGCAATATCAACATGTGTGCACAGAGCTGAAAGTTCTCATGCAGTATACGATTAATGCATTTACCTGTGCGCAGGTGTAACAACGAATCTCTATTTTTCTCAGTTAAGATTTTCGTGTGTTAGCCTGACACCCTCTGGTGACTGAATGGTGATTTGTAGGTGGTTTGTACACGCCCACCGCACCAGTTTCGATAATTATTTAGAAGGCGATCTTCGACCCTGCTAGTCGAGACCAACTCAGGCTCAGCGAGATACTATGTCCTAGCAGAAAGATCGAGATACTCGATAAATATTTTTAGCCAGGTCTTCTGTGTGCGACGGCATAAATCACCTAACCTCTACACCTGGTTCTCAGACACTGGTCTGACTGGTGAGGATAATGTAACCTTCAGCGCTGCTCCTAATGAAACGACAAGAAGCATACCGACGCCATCAAAGGTAGCAAGTATCAAAGATCGCTTCCATTCGCTTCGCCCCACCCCCAGACCCCCACCCTTGCCAAGTCACTTTTTCTTTGAGATCATCAATAAAGATTATCATCGCGTGTATATACAGCACCCCTGCTGGCGACTGAGTGTTGAGAAAGATGTAACCTACAACATCGCTCACTATGAGACCATAAAAAAACAAACCAACGCCTCCACCTCAAGCAAGTTCCAACGGTGGTTTCCTTCAGGTTCACCCCCCCCCCCTCCTCAATCACTCGTTAAGTCACCTTTTCTTTGAGATCATCAGTAAGTAGGTCATCTTTGCCTGGACGCCAGATGGGAGGCACGGACTCCTGAGGCAAGATTGTCTCCCGTGGTCTGGCGGGCAGAACACTACTATTCTTGACCATTCGCTCGTCCACCCTGGCACGTCTCGGGGTAGGAGCACCATCAGTTGACCGGTGGGACAGTGGGGCAAGGGTGGGTCGACCCACCGGAGCCAACGAGGCTTTTCCTTTGATGAGTCCGGCATTGTCGAACTGCACTCTCCTTAACTCTCCCCTCAGCTCAGGCATCTCGTTTTTATTCGTTGTTGTCTTGACTTATAAATCTCTTTAGCCCGAAGCGGCTAATTAACTAAAGGCATACTGATTTCTATTTATTTAGTTGTTTACCAATAATCCTTGGCCAAAAAAAAATCAGTTTAATCTAAAAGTATTCTCATTTTATAGCTTAGTTTGTATCTAAACACCAATTCTTTTTTTTAACTCGGTAGGCCTAACAGGTGAATCCCCCGAAAAAGTAATTTCCGTTTTCTCTTCGTTTGTTGCTATTTGCTTTTACCTGCACTCCAGACCCATTCGAATAATAAACCATTCACCAATGAAAGAATGAAATTTATTTTTGATATTAGAAGGTCAAAACCCGAGCTGCCACAAAGAGTATACACTCGTTGTTTGAATATAAATTTAAAGTTAACAGCTCTCAGACCTTGTTGTGTTGCTGCTATGAAAATAATTGTAACTTTCGAACTCCTTTCTATTCATAATTCTTATATTTGAAACTCAAAACTGGTGATATAGTTAAAAGCACTGAACGGTGAACACATGTCCAGTTAATACGTTTTGATGAACAAAACAATTGAAATTTCGAGAAATGATACTATAAATAAAAATATTCAGGTCAACAGGGCTTGTTTCCAAAGTCACATTTTCACCATTCTTGAATCAAAACTACTCCATAATCCCTTCTTCCAGAGAAGATCCTTAAGAATTCGTTTATTCCCACAGTAAAAACCTTTGACAAGATTGTCAAATATACACTATTAACAAAAATAAACTATTTTCAGGACACTGTAAACAGTAGCAATAATTAGTCCGGTAGAGAACACAACACCAAATGCTGTTCGCCTTTAAATCCTAACGGCACGGACATCCGAGAAGACCAAATGACGGCGGAGATTTGTTCTACTGGTAACTCTTGCCAAATGCCTTAAGCTACATGATACGGGTACCAGTTGCCGTTATCCGGATTAACTACCTGTGATAATCCACGAGTACCAAATTAAGACTTCATGGGTGTTCTCTGCAGCCTTCGAGTGGTATCCAGGTTTGGCGATGGGTCAAGTTTTGATTAAGGGAAGAAATATAAAAATATAATGTGAACGTCCTCTTTGGACTTTCACTTTTTAGGGTTCTCTCTCTCTCTCTCTCTCTCTCTCTCTCTCTCTCTCTC